TTTAAAAAAATGCTAGAGAGAACAATGAGACTCCTAATTGCAAAATTGCATTTTTTTTTACTTGAATACCACCCTAAGGTGCAGTTCTTTAATTATTTCACTAAGTACAGTTTTGTTTTCAATTTAAAGATAAAGAAAGGGTTTGGTTGGCCCAATTCTCAGATAAGCAGTATATAATGTATGTTCCTATAACCCTGTCATACTAGCTGAATCGATCTAACTCCAGTCTTAATATAAGTAACATTGCCTGGACAATATGGGCATTGCCTAGACATTATGGATGGCAGCATATAGACTTCTCTGCACATTCCACCTCAAACACATGTTTACTCTCTATATGACATTTTTAACAATCATTTTGATTTTATATGACATTGCATGATGTATCTTACTCACATAGAACTATATGTATGTACAGTATATGCTGTTAACTTAGAGAAGTGAATTGTCATTTTATACATGATGGTAAACAGTGTGTATCAGTTCAATAGTTGACTGTTTTTATATTGAAGTAACACGTGTTATTCACAGATATTTGTTTAAAAGTTTGTCTTATGGTATCTTTAAGGACACAAGTTATGATATTCAGTTTAGTTTACTTCATGGTAAGTCGGCATGACCAAATAAAAAAGACTTTTGGGATTTTATGAATATTCATGATTATAGCAATAAAACATATTTCGAAAGACGTATTTTCAAGTGATATGCATTATTTGTAAAAATGTCCATTCATATGTCAATCAATCTCTTGGAATATGGCTGGTATGGAGCTCCCTTTAGTGTTGGAGTTTGATAGAAGGTGCTGCCACCTGATGTAGAATCAAATAGTGATTTATGACCTGCTATCTATAGGGTGATTGACCAGTCAGTGCATATATCCACTTGAATGGAGGGGGAAACATTGTCAGAAAGATCAGAGAGTCACCCAGAGGCAGAATTTGGAAATTTTTTTATTTCTTGATTAGTTGATTAATTTGTTTGTCTGTTTTTGTTGGATATTGATTTACGTCCTGCTGGGCATAGATACAACCTTTGGCTATCTAGATGTAAGTCACTATTTGATTTACATCGTGCTAGCCATTGATTGTATCGGGTTGAGTGTGTTGGGTTGCAAGAAATTCTGGGCTCGGAATCTCGAAAGGTTCGCTATGTTGCGCACGCGCTATAGCATAGCTAGCGTGCGCTATTTGCGAGTGCGATTGCACCCACCTGCTATCTCGAAGCCTTAGCAGACGCAACGCAATTATAACCTCAAACTCTACTAATATTCGATTGCCGCATAAAGTGATGACGTCATAACACAATTACACAAAATGCAATTTTTTTCACCATGACGCAAATCAAGAGGTTGTTTTTATTTATAGGAATATCATAATTACAAATACTGATATTTGAAGTATTTGACACCAATAAAATATCAAAAAACAATTCAATAAGCGAAGCTTGGACTGACACAATTACTGACACATTGGTGAGTAGTGTTCAGTCTCACAATAATAGACATTGAGGAAGGTAACGTGCGACCGAATGCTTTGTTTCTGCTTTTTCATTTTGTGTGGAAAATGACACTTTTAAATTTATTATTATTATCAATAGACTACACAGATGAATGAAATGCACCAGAAAATATAAAATGATGTATGAAATGTTTAATTTTGAAATTTTTCTGCATAATAAAACATGACTTTGGCATTCTTCACGTGAATATTTACCGCAAGTTTTTCTATCAGAGGTACCAGTGATTCAATCAATTAAAAGCTTCCATGTTTTTGTTATATGTTTTATTATATGCTATTATGACTAGCAACCCAAACTTGCCACCATGTTTAATTACATGAAAGACACATTAAAATGACGAATTTTGCATTCGCAGAGGCCTTTGCGACTAGTTTGTATCGCCCCAAATAATAGCCTCGAAACTAATGGCGATTTGGACATTAGCGCACGGCCGGGATTTGCGAAACTTTCGAGATACGGGATAGCGCACGCTAGCCATGCTAGCGCAGGCGCTCAAAATAGCGATTCTTTCGAGATACGGGATAGCGCACGCTAGCCATGCTAGAGCGTGTGCGCAACATAGCGAACCTTTCGAGATTCCGAGCCCTGAACTATTATTTGTACAAAAATGAGTAATTCGGCATTAGCAAAATGATGATAATTAAGTTTTGCCAACCTAGATTGTATATTTTTAAGTGCATAATTAACTCTGCATAGCTAACAGAGAAATTTGCCTGTTCCAGTTTGCCCTGCTGGTTACCATGGTCACGACTGTAAGGAGCCATGCAGCTGTCAGAATGGTGGTCAGTGTCATCATATGACCGGTCACTGCACATGTCCACCTGGATGGAGGGGGAAACATTGTCAGAAAGGTCAGGGAGTCTTTTGAGGCAAAATTGGAACATTTTTTGATATCTTGATTAGTTGATGAATTTGTTTATCAGTTTAGTAATGATTGTTTTATTTTATTTCTTTTGTCATATAGTTAACTTATTCTGTGTAATTTTTTTTTTTTTTTGCACATCTATCATTTCACCAAATAGCCATCTTTATGTGGAATTGAAACCATTCGCATATATACATATTAATATATTATATATTTGTTTTATATGGGTTACATCGATAATCCTGTCAGTCATGTTTAATATGTGAACACAGATGTAAATTCAATGTTAGGGAAATGATTCACATTTTCATATTGTAAAATGGTTCTTAATTTGTTATCATTTAATTGTCATTAATTGATTTTACATCATTTTAAGATACATTCATGCAGACAGATTTGTTGTAATTTATGTTGTCTTCAAATTTTAATAAACAATGAGGTAATACTGTGTTGTTACAGTATGTGTACCTGGCACCTATGGAAAAGACTGTGCTGAGAAATGTCGATGTCCGAGAGGCGAACCTTGTGATCATGTGACAGGGGGATGTGACTGTCCAGCAGGATTTGAAGGACTGGCGTGTGAGAAGCGTGAGTATTACATACATATATACATATAATTTTTGTACATGCAGAGAGAGGTGAAGTTGAAAATCAGCTTAATCTGACCTTTTTTTTTAAAATTAATGCCTTTTTTTTTTCAGCATACTTTATGCTTTTTGACATCCTTGATAAAATAAATAGAATACTGTTTTACCTGGTATATGTATGTATATTTGACAGCTTTTGCTGCCTTCTTTTTAAAAATTCATTTACTGAACCTACAAGTCCACTTTCTTGCTGGATGTTATCAGAATCACAAAAAGGAAATAAGGAAGAAAATAACAGTATTTGACAAAAGACTAAATACATGTAATTGGTGACTGTAGAAATGGAGAATTATTGCTGTCTATTCAAACCCATGTTTAGATTTACTGAATATTTAGAAGTAAATGCAGAATGGAGAGAGTGCTATTGAAACATAAAAGATTTGTGTAGAACAGAGATAATGTTTAAGAAACACAAAATCAATGCTCTTATGTTTTAATATTTCAGCATGTGAGGAAGGGAAATATGGCAGCAACTGCAAGGAGACGTGTTCCTGCCCCAGCGAGAACTTCGCCTGTGACAGCAGGGAGGGCGAGTGTACCTGCAAACCTGGATTCTTTGGCGCTGACTGCCATGGAGGTATATTGTCTTAAGCTGCAGTCGCAACCAGTTGATCTGCAGATCAAAGATGGCCGACCCACTTGAAGGACATTGAACAGATTCCACGTGGGGATTACACGTCAAGTATTCAATTGTGACAGCCATATTTGATCTGCAGATCTGTTGGTCTGTGGATCAACTTTGTTTGTGAATGTGGCCTTATTTGTGAATAAACAATTTTGCTTAAGTGTTCCCAGATGTTCAATCTATTCACTTGTAAAAGCATACAATTTTTTAATGATTCTTGATGTAGAAAAATCCATAAACAGATATTGATATCATTTCATAACAGAATTTCCCTGATGAGCATGCAACTTTACTATTTAATACATTCTTACATAATTATGAACCAAACAAATTTCCTGAAACATTATAGCTATCTTATGCTAATCATCTTTTCCAGGTTGCTCAGATGGGAAATACGGCCCAGATTGTTCTTCAGACTGTCAGTGTGAAAACGGCGCAAAATGCCACCAGAGCACAGGCGCATGCACGTGTGAGCCAGGCTGGATAGGTTCTACTTGTAACGAACCATGCCCCATGGGCATGTATGGAGTGAACTGTACGAAGTACTGCACATGTCAAAATGGCGGACAGTGTGATCCTGTGACTGGCCAGTGCATCTGCCTGGGTGGTTACCATGGTGAAAATTGTGAAATGGGTAATGTCCACTTCCGACCTTTTGGTTAAAAAAATTCAACATGGTTTTAAATGTGAAAATGCTTAATTTTGAAGATTTTGAAGGTATAGCAGACATTTATGTACCCTTTTGTGACAAAAAAGGTTTTTCGAACTGACAGTATGTTACAGAATTTGGTCTTTATATGCAGTAAAAAAGATATGATGAATTTTGACTCTATGAAAATAGTATAAAGCTTCTGTTAATCTGTTAATCAAATTAAAGAATACACCATTTACCTAATCAAATTATATATTTTCCCACCAGCTTGCCCACCAGGCTTCTGGGGAGAGAAATGCCTCGAAAAATGTCTTTGTGAAAACGGGGCCCGCTGTGACCCAGAGACCGGTCACTGTCAGTGCGGCCTGGGCTGGACTGGTGAACTGTGTGACCAGGAGTGTCCACCAGGGAAGTTTGGGGCTAACTGCAGCAAGAGCTGTGATTGTATGAACGGCGCTTTCTGCCATGCCGTCACTGGGTGTTGTCAGTGTACTGAGGGGTGGTATGGACAGATCTGTGAACATGGTGAGTTTTTAATATGTCACAAATCTTTAAATACAAAATGGTTGTTCATTTGATTCAAAAGTGTCATGTATTGTCATTGAAAGCCTGCTTCTTATAGAATCAGAAGTTGTTCTAGTAAAATGGCACCAGAAAATAGGGACTGTAGCAAAACCTGAAGAGGTCCAATAAAAGGTGTATTTATAAATGTATAAATAATCAAATTTATCAATATGTTTTTAGCTTTTTTTTACCAGGGCTGCTTGGCAAGAGGTGTATTAAGATTACATAATGCTATTTAAAAGTAGAATCCCATATTGTTAAAATTATGTTCACAACCTGTCTCACTGATCACCTTATTCTTGGCAATGTTATCAAGACATGAGTGCTATTTAAAAGTGAATTCTCACTGATGGTAATATATATTTACAGCCTGTCCCCCTGGGTTCTTTGGCAAGGACTGTAACATGACATGTGACTGTCAGAATGGCGCCAGGTGTAACCACGTCACAGGCCAGTGCACCTGTGTGCCTGGATACTTTGGTGACAAGTGTGAAAAAGGTGAGAAAATCTTGATTTAAAATTTACTCAGTTAAAGGCTGTATTTTTCAGTTTTTTTCTGATATTCTGTTTGGAAAGTCATCTTCAGCTTGTGATAAAGAAAAAATATGAAAAACAATGCAATAAATAAAGGTGTAATGAAAACAATGAAAGGAAGTTGAATTAATTTCTATTACTGAAACTGACTGTAATATCAAATTGCTTTTCAGTATTCATTTTCCACAAACTCTTCTATGAAGTATGAAATGAAATATGTTTCAACTGAATAATTTTAAAAATATATATATATATTTTTTCATTTATTTTCAGTTTGCCCCAAAGGTCGCTACGGGATGAATTGTTTAGAGAAGTGTGAGTGCGGGGAGGACGGAGAATGCGACCCACTCACGGGAGAGTGCAAATGTGCACCAGGACATGCAGGACTGGGCTGTTTAAGTTGTATGTGAAGTTCTGCAGGGACTGTTTTTATTTATTATTATTTTTTTTTTTAAATAAAAGACTTCAGATCCAAAACTGGTCCAACTTTGATATTGAGAATTTGCACAAACGTAACATCCAAAATTGGTATTAACTTTGAGATGGAGAATTGCACAAATGAAACTAAGACTTGGAAGTATTGAATAATTGCACCGGAAATTGTTTATAAATTTACAACAAAGCACATAACAGTGTATAATTGTACCAAACACATGTATCTTATATGTACAGCAGTGCACTACACATTAACAGTATACATTTAATGAAGTATTTATTCAATATAATAGTAATTATTATTATTACTATTTGCACATTTATTTATTTAATTTCAGCATGTCGGAGAGTTCACTATGGTCCAAACTGTCAGTTAACATGTGACTGTGGACAAAGTGACCACTGCGACTCCGTGTCTGGCAAGTGCATATGTCAGAAGGGATGGGTGGGTGCTAACTGTGATACTCCTGCAGGTGAGACAGCATGGAATTAAATTAATCAATTGAAATAATTAATCAATCAATCAATTTATTGATTAATTGATCAATTTATTTTAAAGTGTGACTAAAAGAAGTTTTATCATATTCAATTATTCATACATGAACTTGATGATGAACTGCCACACACCTACAGCTTTTTGTGTGACTGACTGATTGATTATGGAAGATACTGAATATCTTTGGCTTAATTAATCATTCGGGTATATGAAATTAGGTGGTTATTTATTAATAAAATGTTGGTTATCAGTGAATGAAAGGTAGAACACTGTCAGTCCTCGGGTGATGTGTGAATAATTGAATATTTTATGATATTTTTTTAACATTTTGGTAGATCAAATATTAATTGATATAGATTTTCGTAGATTGGGTAATAAGTAATATATTAACTGTTACATCAATAACCCTCATAATTGTAACAAAATGGACCCTTCCTTCCAACACAGTCCTTCCTTGGCTTCCATAATACAGTATGCAGCCTAGACCATGAAGGACCATCGTAAAGCAAATTTGGCAATAGATATCCTGGCACCTCCTCCCTCTCAAAAAAAAAAAAAAAAGAAAAAAAAGAAAGAAAAACAAGAGAAAATTGAGAAAAAAGATCTAGGTCTGAAATTAGTCCAAAAAATGTTTGGAGAAATAAGTATTAACTTTACCACTCTTGGGACTTGGAAATGCATGTATATTTATTTGGCTATTATTTTGGTAATGTCTAGAGATGCTTATGTGCCAGTATATCTATGACAGGATTTGTCAGGAAATGGCTCCTTCTGGAACATATGGGCTGCACAAATGGTCTTGATTACCTGCTACCCCCACCCCCACTCAACCCCCTGCCCCACCTATAAAGCCTCAACCAGTTCATATACTGAGTAAGGTCACACATAAAGCAATCCCCTTCTCAGCTAACACATTTTAGGAACTTGGACATTGCATACCAGGTTCATCCAACATCAAAGTCAAACATTTTTTTATTTCAAATGACTGAAATTGCCATTCTTTTTTGTCTGTGGATATTTCTCATCAGACCCACATTTAAGTGCAGATGAAACAATTAGAAAATCATCCAAAAGGCTATTGTTATGTTTGGAATGGGTTTTTGAATGCCATTTGTGAAACTTAAGTTCCGGATTTTTTTAAACACGTCAATATTGGTAAAAGGCAAATATGATAAGCTTGCAGATAATCAAACATTAAATTTCCTAAACATTCACTGACAAGTTCTTAATGATACTTGATTTATTTGGCTTCTACAATTTCTGAAAATTAGGAAGAGTTAAATTTATGCATGCGTTAGAAAGGACTCTTGATAATAGATGGACTTTGCTTTATCTGGACATTTTTATTATTATTATTATTTTTTCTTAATGTGTTGTGAATGATTTTGAAAAGGTTGATCAATTAACATTTGTTTCAAACTAAATGCTGTCTCTACAGTGTTGTCCAAAAATCTGCCTTTGGTTTGGGGTAAATATTCATATTATTAAATTGAGTCTGACATATAAACACAAGCTAACAAGGTGCATATATATTCAGTGCTGTAGCAGCTAGTATTATTTGGGTTTTGCAATGCACGTTTGGCTCCAGCATTAATCAAATGAGATTTTGCTAGTATTTTTTTATTTTAACTACCAGAATGCATTAAAATAATAGTACTTTGGCATTTACTTCTGATCATTAACTGAATGTCTCAGGAAATTTATGTTTAGTGCTGAGATACTTAATATGTTTATGAAGATTAAAATCTACCTTGTTATATTTTAAATTACTTAAAGAATTCAGTGACTATAATGAAAAGGTTATGAGAGGGTATTTGTAAATTAGAAAAATTAAAATAATGAGTACATATGATACATTAAATTTTTTTACTCGTTTGTTTTAATATGTAGGTAAAACAAAGTGATTTTTGTTCATTTGGTCATTTTTATGCCATACTTAACAGATCTGATACAATGTATGACAGTAACACTGCATATGTTTTATCTATACAAAATAAACTGTTTATTTATAAAAAAAAAAAAAAGCGCATTGAGATAGGCATTGGCAAAGGCTAGAAAAAGTGTGGATGTACGAGTAATTTAGACAACTGCTAATTATGTAGGTTAGCTAGCTAGGTGACTTAATGTTGGATAACACATCAGTACATCTAGCTATTTTAAATTATTAGATTAAATTGCTGAGAGAAACAAGCTGAAAATTTCATATATTTACAATGTGTCTGGAGGTATATAACAAAGCATGAGTTTTTGCATATTTTTCATTGAAAAATGGCAGTTTGTTGTTGACAGGATTTTTTTTTTGTTGTGGTTGTTATCTTAAATAGAAAATTTGTTGTTTTTTTTTTTTTTTTTCATTTTATTTACATTTTATTCACATGATTTTGCACAGTTTTGCTTCCTTTAAATTAGTCACGTTTTGCATATAGTTCACATCATGCTTTGTTTGACAGCAACTTCCCCTTCGCTTTCAGTCTCCCTAAATATTAAGACACATTTACATGTACACTTGTTTCCTTGGACTGTTCACGTTCACCAAAGTAGCACACAAGTTATTTGACTTCTGCGCAAGGTTATGCTCTTAATGCACCTGTTATACATACTGGTTGACTTTATAACCTCATGCAGATTTTTTTTATTGAACGTGTTACTTTGGTAAGCGTTAGGCCATGTTTACTACCAGACAGACTCAATTTGATCAAAAATTATCTCCATTAACTTCTTACTAAGTTTTAAACAAATCCATAGGCTTTGCATGCGTAAACAATGTTTCATTCATGATTTCCAATCTTTTGATTTGAATTTCTAAGAAAAAAGAGATTGGCATGATTTTGAAAATACTTAAATCAAAAGAAATGAGAAAAACTTGTTTCAAAGAAAAGAGAGTTTGAAAATTGTGTGTGGAAGTACCCTATCTGATGTCAGTAGAAGACTTATAAACACAAGGTTGCTTTTAACACCTGTGAGCAATTTGGTTCTCTGGTGACATCACATGGGCAGATTCTGGTCGAAGTTATGTCAGTTGTAAACACAGTCTTTATTCCAAGAGTTTGTAATGTCTTTTTTTAAGTTAGATAATAACAAATTAACAAATTACCTGCAACATTTTTCTTTTCACTTAATTTTAATATAAATATCACACATTATTCCTCTTGTGCAAGTTTTTTGTAACCAACATTTTGTTGTTTTTCTCACAATTTACTTATTATAATAAAGAGTGCAACATAACTATTTAGAATTTAAAAACAATAAATGATCAAGTAACATAATGAGTGTGATTTTTCAAACATTCGAGTTTTAATTTTATTTTTGTTTTATTTTGAGTTTGATAGTCTAACATTTTTTTTTCTTTTGTGAAGCGGGAAAATTTGTACCTGGTAGAATAACATGGGTAAGCAAAGTGAAACTAATCTGTTTTTATTATCATTATTTTTATTCTTTATAATTTAACTTAAGTGATTTTAAATGATAGATATAAAAACTTTTCTAAATAAAATCATTTCTAATAGCATAGTATTACTGATGTGTTGATAGAGATAGCTATCAAATACACCACTAGCTGGTGAAAATGTTGGAATTTACAAGGTTATTTCTCCAATCAGACTATTTTGTATTTGTACTGCAAATATTTGTAAACAGGCTACTAGCTGTTACTCAAGCTGCTAATGATAGTCAATTACCCTCTAGTAACTCAAGGGGACATGAAGACAATTAAGCTGATTACACTTTAAAAATAGCGAGTAGCCCTGCAGTATTAGATCCATCCAGCTATATGGTGGGTTTATGGGAACGCAGTCTAAAAAGTAGCTATTTGTGGTCAAATATTTGGCAGATATTATTAGTATATATGGAAATTTAGGCCCTTATTCAATGTCCTAATGTGAACTAGTCGAGATACTAGTAGTTACCAAATGCATGTAGGTGATGGGATGAGGTGTTGACTTTACTAAGTAAAACATAACAAGTTGGCAAAGGACACCAAAGGGCTATGATGGCAACCAGAAGCTTGTTGATGGCAACATGGTCTGTCATGGCAACTTGGTTGGTCTTGCTACCTTGGTACATTTGGCACCTTGGTTGGTCATGGTAATGTGGCTGGTCATGATAATTTGCTTATGGTGCCTTGGTTGGTCATGGCAATGTGACTGGTCATGGTACCTTGGTTGGTCATGGCAGTGTGACTGGTCATGGTACCTTGGTTGGTCATGGTGCCTAGGTTGGTCATTGTATTTTGGTGATTGATTTATGTCCTGTGAGCCTCTATAAGAAATTATTTATATCATGTCCATCTAGTCTTTGCAAGTATAAAGTGGCATAGTTGATGTTTTAACACACAAATATGCACACACACACATATTCCTCCTTGATTTTCCCCTAAAGTTCAGAAAAGAATATTGTTTTAGATCTATTTGTCCTTTTTAAAAATTACATACTTCATGGTTTTAAAAATTAGACATTTATTCAATTCTAGGAAACGGGGAACGATTTAGACGAGGACCACAGCGGGGAGACATTCCTGGACATCTTGGGGGATAAGCTACAGTAGTGACACCTATACTTTGAAAATTAGGACCATTTTCAGTGCAGAAAACAAGCCACAGTAGTGAAATATTGGCCAACAGGTTATAACAATGTAGACTGGGACTTCATGGAGAAGCAGCAGATATTTTTCATACAGGAAACATTAAATGAAGGAAGTCATAACTTGTTCTTGGAGGTGCAGCTGACTTGAGAAAATCGGCGGTTTCTCACAGGAGGTATTGAAAGCAAAAAGACACGAGTTACAACTTAAAGTGCATTTGCATTGAAAAGCTGTGAAAACTTTTTGTGTTTGAAAATGTGTGACCATTAACTTTGGTCTCTGGTATGCCGTTTACTTTGAGATCCATGTGTGACATGGAAGAGACATGCAAGCACAGTTTAAAAAGGGACTCTCTTGTACATAAGTGACACCTACAGATGTGATGGACATGCACTGGTGACCCCTATAGTTCAGATAAACTAAGCAAGAGGAACCTTTTGGTGCATATTGGCTACTATAGGGCAATACAGCACCTTATAAACTTGTGATATGGTGTTTTGCCGTTCTGCTGTTTAAGAATACTGAATAAACTTACATTGTAACTCTCCATATGGAATCTGTAGCACCCTTTGTGTTCAATGGAGATGAAGCAAAAAAGCGAAAATGACTATGCTTGTTTCCAAAGCATTGCTATCCTAATGTGGTATCCTACCAAAAGTGTTGTCATGCCACAGCTTTGTCTCAACTGACACATTGTCACACCCAACATACTCACATGTGACTCCATGCCAAATACAGCACTCTGCTCATCCATAATATTCTCCCATTTTCTCCCACCTGTCCCATTTTGCACCATCTTTTTCACTGCCTCCCTTGTGCAAGAGAAAAGTGGTGAAAAGCTTGTCACACCTGGACTTACATATTATATTATATTGTAAATGTACACCTGCGAAGACAGTACTATTGTGAGTTATATTAGTATATGGGTAAATTGCTATAATTTTATCTATACATTATCTATACATTTTTGCCAATGCTTTTCTCCCTGATATTATTATTATTATTATTATTATGTAGTTCTTTTCAAACTTGCAGCCACTTTGTCTACACAAGAATATATTGCCAAAGAATCATGTTTGAGAGTAGTTGGGTTTATTGTATTATAAATACTATCATTGTCTTAGTCTAGTTCAAGTTGAAGACTAAAAGGGATTCTTTTGTATGTATTGGGTAGTTAAAAACTCATTTTGTATAAATTTTACATTCTCCCTTTGAACTATTTTATTCTTTAACCTGTATCATTTTCATAATTTTAGAAATGTGAAATGTTTTAAATTATAATTATTAATGTATATTGAATTTCGTATTTTAGTTCCCTATGAGCTTCTAAATGCTTTACAATGCTCATCAGTGTAGGAATTAATACATTTTTAGTGTATTTATTCTTCTTGTTTGGTTGATGAAAAATCTAGCTCCTGCAAAGGTATTTAGGCATGATGTGACATTTAGACTACACCAATTACATAAATTGCACAAACGGCAAGTTTAAGAGCGCATTCACAACAGATGATCCTCGGATCTACTGGTCTGGGGATCAAATATATGAAAGCAAGACTGCCTTATCCCTTAAGGATCTCCCCTCCTCCACACACACCTGCCCTGCAGAAGCTGAAATTTAATCTGAGAGCGGGGAGACCATTAAAGGATTAGATAGTCTTGCTTTCATGTAGGGTCTGCCATATTTGATCCATGGACCAGTAGATCCGAGGATCATCTGCTCTGAATGTGACCTAACTTGTCATTTTCATCTATGCTTCTTATTATTGCATTTGGAGATATTTCCATTGTACCAGGTACATGTAGTAGTATGTGCTTTAGAATTGTGAAATTGTAATTTTAAGGAATCTTCATAATGGAGCATATATATATATATAGGTAATTTTGTGCTGCTTCAAATGTAGTTGTTAGTATGAAAAAGATCTGAAAACCCCACTGTTTATTTTGCAAATGGGAAAGCTTCACTTGTTTGCTGTAATACACTGGCAGATAAAAAAGAAATTTGGTAGGGTGAGAGAGGGGTCATTTCTTGGCAGAAATCCAGTTATGTAATAGTCGTTTGTGATCAGCACTTCTTATGCCCCCCCCCC